ATTTAAATATAAGATTTTTGGAAACAAGAAATGATTCTAATATCATTGAATTAAAATTAATGAGTCTAATTTAAATTGATATAATAACGAGTGTGAAGTATATATCTCAACATGATCGTTATTATATATTCGAGATTCATTCCAGTTGGATTTCTCCCAAAATTTTAAAAAATTTATAATAATGTAATTAAAATGATTACTATTACCGTGGTTGTTATTTATTATTATTATTATCAAATTTTCAATTATATATATGATGGGTTGAGAAAGACTTTTGTTGTTAAGATATTGCAAAATAAAGAAAAAGAGAAAAAGGTAAAAATGTAACACTTTGTCAAAATGGGGTGGGGCATGCAATTCATTGGATTTTGAAGAAATAATTGTGAAATGGGGACACACTTTTAGGTGTGAAAGAGGAAGAAGCTAATCAAATCACTTTACCATGGATTTGTCCTCTACATGATCAAACCACTCCCATAAAGCTTACAACATAAGTCAGCGGGTGAGAGTTTCTGTTTAAACATTTTCTTTTCTTTTCTATCCTATTTAACTTCTTTTCAAAAACAACTTTTCTTTTGAGCTAATAAATCTATTTTTAAAAATTATAGAAATTTTGAAATGTCTGAAAATTGTTCATTCGATAGCAAGTATTTACAAAACAATGCGTCTATATTTATAAATAAGTTCACCTAAATTGAAGAATAATGTGAGCTGAACTTAAGATTTTCTTATTACCTTTAACTATTTATAAGTTCACGCGGTTGATCAGTTTGATTCAATTTACTTTTTTTTTTTTTGGCATAGTGAACTAAAATTAAATTATGTATAAAATCGAGCAAATCCATAAAAATACGATTAAATGAAAAAAACAATCGAATTAATTAAGTTCGATTTTTAATCAAAATTGGTCATCCCTAACTATTTGTCCTCCATGATTTGGATACGTATATTTACCATTAAACTATACTTTGATATGCGAGCATGAGTGATACCATAGCGTATATAATGGGGTCAATTGCCGCTACTCAACTTTTAAAGAAATATTTATATTTATAAAATATGATTAAATTGATTAAAAAATTATAAAAGTATGTATTGAGTAAACAAATTTAAAAATTTTAATTTAATGAAATTTAAATTAAATAAATGACCTCATTAAAAAATATTTTTAGCTCCGCATTGTATGTTAATGAAAATATACATATACCAGATTTATTTTCCTTAAATAATTACCGGATAATGTGCATGCAAATGCAACATCAATCTTTTTATAACTTGGTGGGCCTTCTTGCGATATTGTACAGCCGTTGATCTATCTTTGATCAAATGTTCGCAAGAATGACGTGACACCATTATTTGCCATACACTAAGGAGAAAAGAGATTTATACGTTAAAAGTTGACTTATGTTTTTTTGTAATTTTCACATTCAATGATGGGACAATAATGAAGAAATCACACAACTCACCAATACTGTGTGAAGTAAATCTTAGCCGTCAATTAAAATGATGGTTCCTGTGATTTTGATTAGTATGCGGGAACACTGTGTTTACGTCATCATGATGCTGCTTATGCGTCATTTTACTTGTGAAACAAGCAGTACAAAAGAGTTGAAAACAAATAAATACGATAATAAATTTTTTTCTTTTTCTTTTCATTTTTAATTAGTTAATATTAAAATATTATTTCAAATTATAAGTTATATTAATATTATTTTTAAGTAGTAATATAGAAGTTTTATGTTAAGGAATTTCAATTAGACGATCACTTTTAAAAATATTTTATATTAGTTCTTAAAAAAATAGTTATGGTGTTAAATAATTAAACAAATAAAAAATAAAAAATTTAATATAACATATCAAGTTATGATTCTGTCTGCCTTAATAAAAACTACGAAATTTTAAGATTACTATTGCATTTTTACTCTAATTATAGAGCATGGTTAAAAAAAATATTAAATCATGAAGCACAAATTTTGAAGTCAGAAAGACACGTCATCAAGCACCGGCCTGAAATAGTAAAAGACGGTCAATCATTTCATACTCAACAGCTCAATGTGCCACGTGTACATTCACTGTCTAGTATTTGGTGGACAGAGAGCGGCGCTTGAGGCCCGGAAAGCGTGTCTCGTCCAACAGCGGTGTAGCTTAGGGTCCCATTTTTAGCCGTTTCAAGGGCCTTGAAAATTTTTAGTTTTTTAAACGAAAGAGAAAATTTTATGAACAAAAAGGGAAATTACCGAGTCAATACGCATGCCTCACGCGTCACAACTATTCAGCATTGGATCCCGTTCAGGATTTTTTTTTTTTTTTTTTTTATGAACAAAAAGGGAAATTACCGAGTCAATTACGCCCCCATGCCTCAGTTCAACGCGTCACAACTATTCAGCATTGGAATCCCGGTTCAGGATTTTTTTTTTTTTTTTTTTTTTATACTTTTTTAACTTTTTAAACTGTGCTTTTCGACTTTCTTGCTTATATTTCAATTTTTTTTTTTTTTTTTTTTTACTTTTTTAACTTTTTACTGTGCTTTCGACTTTCTTGCTTATATTTATCCGGAGTGGACATGATTCCTTTACAATCAAATAACTAAAAATTTGGGGATGTAAAAAGCAGCTGCTTGAGGCTCAATTAGATAAAAACACATTCGGGCTCATTGGAAGAAATAACGAGTCAAGCTGGAATTTAGCTCGTGCTCAATTACTGCATTAACAAAGTTTAAAAATAAAATATCTCGATGTCTATTATATAATTAGATTTGTGACTCGAACTCTCTGTTATCACCTAACTAAGACTTTTCAGTGGATTATTAGATCAAATTAACAGGTGTTTATTACAAATTATTTATTTTAGTAGTTATTTTATTTTATTCTTAATTTATAAAAAAATTAATTTTAATTATAATATTAATTATTTAGAAATTTGAATTTTTATTAATAATATAATATTCACAATGGTCAATGTTTTGAAATTGATTTTTTTTTTAAAATTCAATCAGAATGTTGATATTTAAAATGGCATAAATATTAAATGTAAAGTATTTAAAAAATTCTAATCTTAATGGGAAAATTATAAAAATATTAATGTTTTTGTTCCATAATTTTTCTCTGGGCTGGCCCAAATATGTAATTGGATCGCTGCGCAAATGGATTTTGAGTTTACCACTTTGGTTCAAATTCAAAATACTGAAATTTGAAATTAAAAGGATAATATACTAGAAAGAAATAAAATAAAACAAATCTGCACATATGAAATAGCAGCAGGTTATTTTCTTTTGCGTTATTTATTCATTTTTACTTTTAATATTAAGCAGCGGAATTTCAGTGAGTAGAGGTCAGCACAAAACAATAGAAAAAAAACCAAAAAATAGAAAATTCAAACGTAGTTTACTTTTTCATTCAATTATTTATTTAATTGGTAATTCAATTTCAAATATATAAAATAAGTTAAATTCATCTAAAAATTAAATCGAATTAAGTGAATCAGACTTGTTCAGTTCGATTTTGTAAATAGTTTGATTTCCGTTCACTTTGAAAAAAATATAATTTGATTTTTAATTTTATTAGTTTAATTCCATCCAAACTCAAATCTACAGATTGCACACTTAATTGTGAGAGTCAAATGTAGATTCAAATCTATCAGAAAAGAAAAAATGTATATCCAAACCTAAATGACCGTTTTTTTTTTTTTTTTTCATTTTTTTCTCTTGAATATACAGAAAGTTTGTAAAGACAAAAAATAGTGAGAGTAGAATGTTGATTATAAACACTACCCTGAGAAGCCTGAATTGCATGAGTTTGGCTGCCCTGAGAAGCCTCAGGAGTCTAGATGTGGCGTCTGGGTCTGAACAACAGTAAATGAAAAGCTACTAGAGTATGCACACGTTGTTTCAACTCCAAACGTTCTTCCTCGGTTTCCTCAGGAGAAAGGAACTCTATTTCTGAAATGACCTCTCTAATATAGGACAAGTTGAATTGTACTGTCCCAATAATACTTCTCAAAGGACGATTTGCATGCATTCTACTCTTTAAGACAACTTTGAATGCAACATCAAGATCCATATCACCTAATTTGTTGTCCATTTCATCACCTCAACTCTGCCCACAATTCTGCAATTGCATACTTGACCTCGATCAAACTATCCTCACAAGCATTCAAAATAGTCTTAATAGGCTTAGTACACAATTCAACAAGAAATAAGTTGGCCTTTACTATGCTTCGACGATGTTCCTGAGCTTCCTGTTTAGACAACTTGTACTTTGTGAAATCCAGAATTGGACGGATGGTGATTTGTTGTTGGTTTCCAGTGGATTTGTCCTTAGCAGAAACAGTGATCACCTCATAGTCTAAATCAAATGTCACCTGAATTTGGGGTACACCCCTTGGAGCACCATTCCGTACTCGCCCTGCAGCACCTCAATACGTAGCATCGTCTAGTTATCAGCTGTCGTAGAGAAAACCTTACTCTTTATATTCGGAAGTCTTCATGCGCAAGTCAAGGAGATCATCATCTGGAGGGAGATTGAAGATATGAATACCCAAACCAGTAGTAGAAGTAAAGCTTGCAAGCTAATCCGCTTTAATTTAGCTTCTCTAATTTTTTTTTTTTTTTTCGGAATGAGAATTTTTTATCTACGATTAAATTGTTTAAAGAATAGCCAAATCCCTCGAGGAGTGAGATGAAATGACAGAGATTTCTTCTCCCTTAACCAGAAGTTTCAAATTTGAGCTTTGAGCAAAATGCTTTTTAAACACTCAGAGAAGCTTTGAGCAAAATGCTTTTTAAACACTCAGAGAAGAATCCTTCTACACTTGCCCAACCCAAATCGAATTTAATTGGATCAATGGACCACCCAAATCGAATTTAATTGGATCAATGGACCTTAGATACCGATGATTAAAAGAACAGCCACAACTTTTCTAACAAGTAAACATTTTAAATTTATAATTATTTATTTAGCATTATATCTACTTCGCATACAATTTTTTTTTTTTCCAAAAAATGATGGAAACATATGTTGTTTTTATTTGGAAAGTCAACATTACATGTAAGTTTATCAATTGCCTAATCTATATATAGAGAGACATATTATTATAAACTTAATCATTACTTAATACAAGTAATTCATTTCAGGCATTCATCTAAGGCGGAGGCGGCGCCAGGGGCAGCCCGATCCCGATCTCCGGTGGGAACATGTGCCGCATTTTGCCTTGTTGCGGTGGCGGAGGAGGCTTCATGTTGTTATATCTGCTTCCAAGCTTCCTTGCATTGTTCTCTGCAATATCACGTACAATTCAATGTAAAATTTTACTCTGCTAAAAAGAAATTAAGAATACTAGACCTTATGTATATATATAGTTGAATTTTCTTCTTTCAGAACAAAAAGAAAATACTATATATATATATAAACCAACCTGCATCCACAAAGAGCAGCTGCAATAAGCAAATGACCATGACAAAGAACACTAGAACTGAATGGAAATGGAAGGCCATTATACACGAATTGCTTGCAGTTTGAATTTCTATTGCTGTTTAGCTCTTTTATATCCCAAAAAATTCATTAATTTAATAAATTATGTTCATAAGTTGGGTCAGTCTAATTTAATATATACAATCTTTGGCCAGTAGGAAGAAAGTACTACCTCATCCATCTAATGCTTTACCTAATCTCCTTGAATGGATCTTCCACGACACAAAAGTCAGACAAACACAGCATTTTTTATTTCCGATATCTTAACATTTCATTTTGTATACTATATAGCATTGGAAGCAATTACAACAGTTTGAAAGCCCAGCTCAAAAGTGCATAAGAAGATATTATATTCCGCATTAGATGAAATTATCCTCACATTTTATAAAATTAATTAACTTATTCCGCATTTTTAATAGATATTATATTCTTGAGGTTGGATTCCATCTTAATAAATAATCATTCCTTACAAAATAAGATATTTTTTCCGGTATATCAATATGAGAGTAAAAAGCAAAAGAGAGGAGAGATAAATATTTTAAAATGACAATACTACCCTTAATGAGATGACAAAAAAGAAATATTTTCTTTAAAAGTGAGTACTAAATACTTAATATTCAAATTGATTAATTTAATAAAACATGGAAATAATTATTTTCCCTATTTTAAATTAATTGTTCGATAAATTTAATTCGATTAAAACTCTCACCATAACAGAGCAAGTGCTCAACTACTGTGTGGTTCTGATGTATTCTAAAATTTGAAGACCTTCCTTGCTAATAGAAAACCTGAACCATCCCAAAAGATTTCATAAACCACAATCTTCCACCATACTTTGTCGGAATTCAACGTTTCAGTTGTGCATATCTTGACATGTCTGGTTTAGCACCAGCTAATTAGGAGCAAAGCCTTATAGTTAGGGATTAAGCCAAGGCTTAGTTGTTTGTTTGTTGTTTATATCCACTTCAACCCAATAAGTTTTATTCCATAGATTTATATAAACTATCCTTAAACCCTCATTTACATGTCCAATAATTTCTTCACAACCTACAGATCTATACATACATGAATAGATCCAAGCTTCTTAAATCTCTGAACCCAGTTTTAACAATTTAAGCTAAAAACAAGAAAAGAAAATAAACAAATAAGGCAGATGATACTTACAGAGTTGATGGAATCATAGCTAAAGAAGGACAAGCTAAGGGAAAAGAAGAAAATAGCTGGAAATCAATGGTATGGGAGGTCTTGGGAAAAATCATCTTTGCTAATTAAAAACAAAGCAAGTTTGCCCAGTCCTCCCATACCCATGACTCCCACCAACATTCTCCCTTTCCCTCTCACCCTTTCACTCACTTTCTCTAGTGGATCTGATCTGAAAGCCTGAGAAAGAGAGAAATTGAAGGAAATGGATGGAATAGGTAGAGTAAGCAAGAAGAGACCACAAGTTTTTTCTTCTTCTTCTTCTTACCTATCTACCCATCTCCATGTATTTCCTTTAACCCTCCCTTTCTCTCTTCCAGTTTTTGACGGTCAATGGCACCGGATGGGCTACTGTATAACATGATGATATAAATACGGCTGGATATGATTTGGGTCAAACTCAAGTTTAATCAAATCAATCGGTTCAGATCGGTTTGATTTTAAAATTATTAGGTTTAACTTTCGTTTTTATAGAAAATTTGAATAAAAGTAATTTTCAATTCTTATTTTTTTATATAAAATTGTGAAATTGAATCAAATCAGATAACTTCTATTTTTTTTTACTATAAAAAATCGTTTTTTTATATAAAAATTCAATTTATTTTATTTGTACCGGTTCAATTTGATTTGAATCAGGTTAACTGAATATCAACCCTAAATATATTCTAAATGTGTAAAGCCATCGGTTTGGATTAAAAAAAATTAGCTTGGAAAAAATTCAAATCAAAATTAATTCGGAATTTTGATTGAATTGAACAAAACCACTGAATGGGACAGCTTCAAATCCATTTCAATTGTTTAATCTTTTTTTTTTTTCAGAAATAAAATTGTTGACTTTTAATATAAAACGTATTTAAATAATAACTTGTGTTTGATTGAACAAAGAAAAAAAAATTGACAGAAAATAAATAAAAATAATAATTTTTATGTTTGAGAAAATAAATTTTTTCATGTTCGAATAATTGAGAGGAAAATAAGAAAACAAATTATTTTAAAAAATAAGATTATAAATTCTCCATTTTTTATTGAATAAAAATATTTTTTTCATATTTATTTTCATCCTTTTCGTATTTTCTTCATTCCTTTTCTTTTCAATTCTCGTTCCTTCCCTATTTATCTATAAAGGAGAAGGGTAATTTTCACAAAAAAGTTGGAGTGCTTCGAGCATCTTCTATGCAGTTGTTAATTGTGTTAATTTATTTACTACGTCTCAAAATTTAAAAATTTGAAAGTAAAAAATAAAAATTTTCTCCGGCGCTATTATTTATTTAGTCTGTAAATTTGATATGTCAAAAAATAAAAGAAATATTATCTATTACGCTCTATTAAACAGCGTGACTCGGCTCTTTATTCCTTTTTTACCATTTATTTTTTATTTTTTATTTTTCTTTATGTCTTTTCTTTTATTTATATTTAAAAAAATTTATTTTCCTTTATTTGAATTTAAATTTTTTTTCGCTGAAACTGATTTCTTCTGTATCTGTTAAAAAAATTATTTTTAAAAATCTAACGTCTAAAAATACACGTCCTGCCACGTTGTTATTATCTATAGCGTCTATTTATTAAAACTCAGATCATATTGATATTGTTAGTTTTTGTGAAATTCATTTGAAAATTCTAACTATTTTCATGGAATTTGATATAGATATATTCAATTCCATAGAATTGAATTCTTGAAATTGAAATATACAATTTTCTTCATTCCAAACCAAAAAATATGGATTCCTACAAAATTTTATCGGATTCATTTATTCCCAAACAAGGGGTAAGAGTTTAAGTTAGAACCAGAACATCCAATCTTACAATTCTGGACATAAGCAACAAAGATCAGCTTCCAGTAATTATTCCCCCGCTGAGATTCAGAATTGAAGATTGGTGTTTGAAAAATACCAATAAAATTATGATTTGGCCATGTTAGAAATCAAACCCTAATTAAAACTCCACAAATTATAAATTAAATTCCAATCCATAGCCAGCTTCCTCAAAATTACCCAAACTAATTAAAGAACAGAAAAGAAAAGAGGAGAAAAAAAAAAAAAAAGAGAACCCAGAACATCCAAATCTTACAATTCTGGAACATTATAGCAACAAAGATCAGCTTTCCAGTAATTATTCCCCGCTAGATTCAGAATTGAAAATGGCGCTGTTTGAAAAATACCAATAAAATTATGATTTGGCCATGTTAGAAATCAAACCCTAATTAAAAACTCCCACAAATTATTTAAATTAAATTCCAATCCATAGCCAGCTTCCTTCAAAATTACCCAAACTAATTAAAGAACAGAAAAGAAAAGAGGAGAAAAAAAAAAAGAATTAAGACAAGAATGAAGAAATCAGAAAGCAAAAAAAAAAAAAAAAAAGAATAAGAACAAGATGAAGAAATAGAAAGCACGCCAGATTGGAATTGCAGATGAACAATAAATTAGAGAAGGAAGGGAAAGGGATAGAGAAGAGAGGAAATCATTGGCATGGGAGGGATTGGCAAGAACAGAAATAAGATTTAGAATATCTTTCTTGCAAATCCTCCCATGTCCAAAAACTTCCTCCATTCCATCTCTTTTCCTCTTCTCTCTCTCTCTCTCTCTCTCTCTCTCTCCCCTTCAATTACTCTGGAGATAAGCCTTGACCTGGGGACCTACGTATATGTTAAGAAAAAGAAACAGCTGTCAGCTTTTGGCACGTGCTTATCAAGCATATAATCCTATTTCAATTTTTATTTATATTTTAAAGATTAATTAGGTATTGACTACACCCTATTAAAAGAAATGTACAATTGCAACAACATTTAAAGTTCATAGTAATTTTATAATTAAAATATTTAATTGTGCCTTATGATTAAAATAAAGTGTAATTACTAATTGCAACAATATGTAAAGTTTTTAAAGTATTTTTATTCCCTAAAATAATAATAAACTCATAATTTTTTCCTAAATACCTCATTAGAAATTATTATTTTTGAAAATAATTATTTTTAACTATTATATTATAAATTTTCAGGAATTAAATTTCGTTTCATTTTTATAATTTTAGTTAATAATTATTTGGAGAGATTAAAATTACTGATATTTTGCTTGGAAAACATTGAATTTTTATTGATTATTTTCAATTTTGAAACAAACTAATTACTAAAATCAACCCATAATTATCTTTATTTTTAATGGCATCCACAAGTATTTATTTGATTTAAATATTTCAATTTCCACAATATAATTTCGTTATTTGAACTAAAATTTGATTATATTAGATTATTCGTGATTTTGCAATAAACTAATTGCTATATCAATCAACAATCACCTTTATTTTTATTCATATATATAATCTATAAGTATTTATTGCTTTTTTTATTTCAATATCCACCAATATATATAATCATTTCAGAGTGAAAAAATATTCTAAACTTTGTATTATGTTGTAATTGCATTCTATTTAAATCATATAGTGCAATTGATTTCTGAGTTTCATTTTAGGTGTATTTATTAAAAAAATAAAAACATTGTGTAATATAAATTGTTATGGGAAAATTTGTAAATTGTTTTTTTAATTGATAGTCAAGTTAAAAACTATTTATGATGTCCCTAAATTATTAATCTATTACTATTTTGGTCATTTTGTACAAAATAGCCTCTTTTCACTGTTAATTGATTGTGAAAAAGTGAAAATTGGCCTATACAAGATTTTAAGGTAAAACTAACTATAAAATCCCTAATTTATGACTTGATTAATCTTTGATCTCTCTATTTTGTTGTTCCTTCCCATAATTATTTTTCCATGAATCAACCTCTTAACCTAACAGAGATAGTTAACTAAAGTCAAATATACCTTATAACTTGGGCTATTTGTTACAACACTTTAAAAAAATATTTTAAATCCAAAGTATTATTTTTGCTATTTCATTTTAATATCAATTAATTTAAATTTTGCAAGTCAAAATTTATCTCAATGAATGAATTTTTTTTAGAGCTTATTTAATAAACTATATAATTTATTGAATGAAAAGATAAAATTGTACATGTAATTATAAAATACACTATTTTTAATTATTCCACGATCAACTTTTAATATCACCTCCAACTTATTTGACTCAATACCTACGAGTTGTGGCTCAATTGGCAAGGCAGGCTGGACATGTGAGAAAAACTCTTGGGTTCGATGCCCACTAAACGCACTTGCACGGAGGAGCGAAGAGCCCCGAGCCGGATTTAGCCGGTTCCTGATAATAGGATCCGGATACTAATAGTTTAAAAAAAAAATTAACTCAATAACATAGTGAATTCAAATTCAACATTCAAAACTTAGCCCTAACAAATGACCACTTAGTCAAAATTTTATTCGGGAACTTATTACCCATGGCAATGGAAATTGATCTGAGTGGAAAAGATTTATATTCCTTAAACAAGAGATTAATTTGATAAATAAATGAAAAATATAAATTTACCTTTAAGTAAATTAAAAATCAATTTTATTGGTTAAAAAATATTAATCAATTTAATTTCATGGGTCATCCATTTTAACTATTGGACTGGTTAAAATTTTGGAAAAATAAAACATCATTTTAACTGGATTAACTTCAAATATACCAATAATTTCATTAATCTACCATGAGTACCTAGAACAATAAAACTATTAAAGAACTGTTTTTCTTCCCACAAAAATTATCTTGCAGGGCATAGATAAAAGCCAAAAAAAAAAAAAAAAAACAATAAAACTATTTAAAGAATCTGTTTTATATACACCACAAAAAATTATCTTGCAGGGCATAGATAAAAGCCAAAAAAAAAAAAAAAACAAAATGTATACAGAAAAACAATATAATGAATAATACGAGTTAAAACGATAATTAGAAACATATTTAAATCAGAAATGATTGATGAATAATTTCCAAAGTCTGTTCCTACAGAAGAAGAGTACGACAAAGCAGTGAGAATGAGAGCAGCAATTAAATGATAACTACATAAAAAAAAAAAAAAAAGACAAATCTTTGCTTGCTTTGGCAGATTCGGAAAAAAAAAAAAAAAAAAAAAATCTTTGCTTGCTTTGGCAGATCGAAAAACATTATTACAGTGAGTTTCTTTCTTCTTTTTGGTTGCTTGGCTTCAAATTACCAAACTTTACTCCATATCTATGTGATATATATAATAAAAGAAATTAAAGTGGAACGCCAAACAATACAAAAGATCTAATAATCTGTCTAAGGCCCTTTTTCCAATCTCCACCTTCTGTTCCAATTTTTTTTTTCTTTAAGTCATCATATTTTCTAATCATTTCTTAGATTATATATTATATATGTCCACCATTCGCATATATTTATATTTTACTAGATTAAAGTGTATCATTCATCACTATTTACCGTTCTCACGAGGAAAATTATAAACATTTCTTTACATTAGCCCCATTATTTTTACCTCTCGAGCTTGATTGATCTTGACTTGATGTCTCCCATAAACCTTTCCTGCTCAGTAAGGACATGGCGGAAGTGGCAGCGGTGGCCATAAGGACAGATATCACCAGCAAGGACCATTCTGCAAACCTCAGTCTTGTAGCGAGGGTGGCGGATTACTGGGCGGAGCTCTTCAAGGCCATGAGCAAATTGGCAATGATCACCGTATGGGCAAGTACCAGTCTCCTGCCATTTGTTGCACAATTCAGTCTTGAACATTCCTTGGTTGTACACTTCAAGCTCAAGAGGCTCCTCTTCCTTCTTCCCTCCACGCACATAAACCTTCTGCTGCATTTAACATCATCCTCAAATTAAAAGACGGCCAAGAAATTAAGAACAGCGTGCAATTGTAGCAAGTTCCATTTAAGCATAAATAATGCGTCACATCCGAACAAATAGTAGATATTTCCTTGCCAAGTCTACAAAGTGATAGAAGCTTTTACTCAAATACTAGGAGTGCTTTAACACTTTTCTCATTAAAAATAGCAAATGATGAAAGATAAATGATCTACACTTGGTTTGCACTAATATATCATATATGTACACTACTAGGCATTCTTATTTGTCTAAATTGCACAACACATCCCACATTGATTACATCATTAATGGTTTCTAGTCCCATGATCTGTACATAACACAGCTTAGAACATACAAAGAGACAACTCGGATATTCAATAAGATAAAAAAAAAAACAGAGAGAGGAGACAATCTCGTATAATTTCTACTTAGGTTCTATAGTGCTGTGATATAAAGATGTATAGCTCTCAATCTCTATCGCTTCTCACCATGGTTATTTCACCGTTGCTCATCTGGACCTTCCAAATTCCTGGGCCACTTCAGCCAATTTGATCATGAATTCCATTCTTCACTAAGGATTTACAGAGCCAAACAGGCCCAATGTCTAACAATGATTAATTTCCTCCATTTAATTGCAGAATCGTACAGTAAATTAAAAATTAAAAATTAAAACTTAAAAAAAATGGAAAAGGAAAGTATTAAAATGGACAAAACCAAGAGCAGTCAGTCAGTCAGCCTCAATTGCTCCATCGAGAGAGCAAGCACTCGTGCAACTCACAAGTGCTATCATAATAGACTGGTAATTGAACCCCATCAAGTCAGTTTTGTAACAAACCGTACTGTGATGTTCTTAACACTACTAGCCACGTGTTTAGACATACCAAAACCTTCTACACCAGATTCTATCAATATTTTTACTCTAAATTCTCAAACAAAGTGTTCCAAAAAAAAAAAAAAAAAAAAGAAAATTACTCTAAAATTTCTCAAACCAAAAGTGTTCCAAAAAAAAAAAAAAAAAAAGATAAAAGAAAAAAAAAAAAAAACTCAAACTCAACGAGTTAGAAAATTAAAAAAAAAAAAAAAAAAAGAAAAGAAAAAAAAAAAACTCAAACTCAAACGAGTTAGAAATAAAATTGAGAAAATAAAGAACATGGGACAAAAATAATAAAAAAAAACAAGAAAAAGTAAAGAAATTACTGTTGCATTGAGCGGACTTTCGGTTTTAGGCCGAGTCACCCCCCGAGTCTTAGTCGCACCAGCCTGAATCGTCTTCAAGTAGCCATTAGACCTCACAGAAATACTCTTAGGCAACGTTGTTCTCTCCGACGTGTCCGCAGGCTGCACCTCCATAACGCTCGTAGGACTCTCGTCTTCGCGCAGTTCTTCTCCTTCATCACCGCCTGTGAATCGCAAATTGCGAAAATCATTGAAGACCTCTAATGGAGTCGTGTTGTAGTCAGAGGGAAGGCAGTGTTCCTGAACCGAAGCTTGGATGAGTAAACTCAGGTGGTTGTTGAGCTCGCTGTTCACAGATCGGAGAGCAGTGTTCTCCAGGCGCAGGGATTCCACTTCTCTGGCCGCCTCGCGGAGGCGCGTTAGGCAAAGTGCGATGCGATTAATCAGGTCCTGATGTTGCATCACAAAGCGAGAATCCATTGATGGAGTTATAGATTGAGAAGCTTTGGGAAGGAAGATGGAGGTGAAATCGACGTCGTTTGGGCTGTAGTATTCAGATTTGGTACTGACGACGAACTCATCGTTACCGGTGGAGGAGAAGTCGCTTTCCATTTCTGCTGATACTTGACTATGCTTTTCTTTCGGAAAATGAACCAAAATAAAGTAAAAAACATAACGAATTATTTTCCTATCAAGAACACTCCATAAAAGATAAAATCCATAAATGAAACCTTCTAAATTACAATTACAGATAACAAAAAGATAACCGCCATAGATCTAAAGTTTGAAAACAGAGATTTCATATAGATTAAATAAAGCAGAAAGGAATCATAAAGTCATACTTAAATTATAACAATGTAATTTGCAAAACAAGTTTGATTAATTAGTATAGAAAGAAATTAGATTAAACAGAACAAAAATTAAAAACAAACAAAGAAACATGATCTTTGGATAATTTTACTTGCAGATATATACGAGTTCTTCACTGAAACAAGCATCGAATTGAAAAGTTACTTATGATCATCATAATAGAAAAATTCACGAGAACACACACACACACACACACATACACACATAAAATAGCAGAACTTGATATGTTACATCGAACTGTGATTAAACAAGTAAAAAATCATCGGCGAAGATTACACAATGAAAAATCGAAAAGGAAGATACCTGAACCGGTAAAGAACAGAGAAGAAAGCTTCTCTCTGAAACTTCAGCTCAGAGAGAGTAAGGCGGTTTTATGGGGGGGCAGAAAATGAGAGAAAAGGAGGGATTTATAGAGAGAGAAAATTGGAGGGAAAGAGAAGAAGCATGTTTGGTGGCAGGGGACATTGAGAAACGAAAAAAAAATCTACTGGTATTTAATAACTGTTTCAAAAACTAAAAACAAACATTTCTAACAGAATTTCCAGTTCTTAGTCCTCCTTTTTTACTATTATGCCCTTCAGACTAGCAACTTCTTTCATTCTCTTAAGGGCATTGCAGTTATTTCAACTGAAGTAAGTTCACTTGTGCAGCATTGTAAGATCTTTTTGGGCCCTACCCTACCTGTTAGAGTAATCTGGGACGTCGATTCTGATCAGAAACCATCGGTACAGTATTATCATATTTTGTAATATGGGCGATTTTTATAAGTTTTTACTAGTCAATGAATATTTACCGGAGAGAACGGGAGAGATAGAGAGTCAGTGTCTCCTCACGTTGTTTGGGTGTAAAATTCGTTCATAGTCATGCATCAATACAGTTAGGTAGCAACAGAACGTGGAATCTTTTATATTTAACATACCTCGGATTTGGAGGATATTTACAAAATTGCACTCTAGATGAGTTTTTTCCTTCTCCTCCTCATTTTTATAAATCAAGATAGAAAAAAAAATGAAATATATCAGTCTATGTGCTGGTCAGCAATCAGAAACGTGGAAATCTTTTATTATTTAACATACCTCGGATTTGGAGGATTATTTACAAATGAATTGCGTACTCTAGATGAGTTAATTTTTTTACGCATTCTACCTCCTCATTACATTTGATGAATAACATAGGACTATGTGTACAAATATCTAAAATGAAATCTATAAAGGTAGGTATGTATGATTATATTATATTCTACATATATATATATGGTCAGTTGGATATAATTCATTAATGCATCATATTTTCTAAGAACTCCTTTGATATAAATCAATTTTAAGAAATTTTAAAAATATATTTATAAATTCACATTTGATTTGTCCATATAAATGAAAATTCCTTTGAAATTTCAAATTTTTAGTTGTATATAATTTATTATTATTTAAATTGAGTCCTATTTATCAATAATAGATCAATAAATATCAATTTATATTTACATTTCAAATTTAGAGTTGCGATTATTTGAAGAATTTTATTTAAATACCAATCTCGTTTTGAGCATAGAGATACGCGTGTGTAAAAGAGTTACATTAGAAATAAATTTTATATTTCATGTAAATTAAAGTGTAAGATTTATATGTAAATAATATATTATCTTAAATAAAATTTATTTTTAAATGAAATAAATTTCAAGTTTTCAAACATTTGATATGTAAATGAAGGATCAGCCGGCAATGGCATGGAAAAAATGAGTGGGCCATATTGGCAAAATAGTAAAATAAACAGTTTTAATGGGTTGTTTAGTTTAGCTAGTTTAGTTAATGAGTGCTAAATGATAGCTCATTTGGGGAAATTAAAAAAATATTAGCAGCTAGTTATTAAAAATTCTATACTTGATAACTAATTTAGATTTATGTTATATTTATACTATATTAATTATATAAAAATAATATTAATAAAATTATTTTTTCAAGCTAAGACTTTATATGCTCACTATATTATGATTATTTAAAAATAATAACTAATAGTTAAACATCAATGTAATTCTTTTTTTTTTTGTTAATATTCTACATTTATATAACACATTAAAGTAGAAAATAATTAATATATTCATTTTTTAAAAATGAAATATTATATATATAATTATTTTACATTTCAATAATAATTGTTATTATATTTTATAAAACAACTAACATTCATGAGATGTATAATTATTAACCATTACCTCTTAGCTACTACCCATCAATTATCATGACTAAGGAAATGTTTCTTTTACTTTAATTTTTAAGAGGAAGTGTTAACAAAATATTGTTAGAGTAGTTGTAACACAATAAATATTTAAATTTAAAAAACCAATCAAGTTTGGTTAATTTGTTGATTATAAGAAATTTCACTAATTAGTGAAATTGAGGATGATTATCTTTATTGTATAGTTCATAATATTATATTCTGACATATTAAGCCTCCCGATGAATATACTAATTTTTTATTATTTACATGAAAGATATATCTTTTTCAAAAAGTATATATTAGGTTTATCATTATAAAAAAAAGGGATGGCACTCCCAAAAAAATTCATGTTGAGCCTGCGGATGAATAAAAAAAAAATCTTAGTTTTTTATTATTTACATTCAAGATATATCTTTTCCAAGAAATATATACTACCTCCATTCCATAATACTTGTCACACTTGCGAAAATAGTTTATTCTAAAATAGTTGTCACATTTGTGGTTTCAAAGAGTAATAAATATTTTTCTCCATGTTTATCCTTTATATATGAGCAATAATTATTATTTCAATTTAAAGGTTTTTTTAGATAATTAGTATTAAATTAAGGGTAATATAGTTAATTTATTCAATAATTTATTATAACTTTGACAAATTTAATAGTTTTTTTAAAAAATGTAAAATTTCAAATGTGACAACTATTATGGAAGATGAATATTATTAAGTTTATGGTCGTAAAAAAAGGTGAATGGCACTCAAAAAAATTTCAGACACCTTTAACTTTTAGTATTTTATTTATTCAAAAAAGTGTCAACTTTCGAGATATAAATTACTTAATCTGTACCAAAAAAATGGTCCATTTTTTTTTTGTTTGTCTTAAAATATTGTCTACTTTCTTTTTGTGCATTATAATTAATCCTTGAATTGTCTACTATACCCTTATTTTATTTTATTTTCAATAACCCTCATTAATTATTTGTTATTCATACTCATGTGTTATTTAAGATGGGTATAAATGTGTGAGAGCGTGTGTGTGAGTAGTGATGTCGATTGTTATTAAGTAGAAAAAGTGTCTCAATCTTTTTCGAGATATTAGAAGTTGACCTTAATCCTGATCCACCACATATTATTCGCGCATCGCTGTATTTTTTTCTCTCTTCTCTCGTCCGACTTCAGAGAGGCACTCCTTACTAGTCATATGTGTGCGTATCTTGAGTTGCAGTTATTAAGTGTATGTAATTAACTTGAGAATTGTGCTACTAAATCACGCAGTCAGGTGCCCCTTATTTTATTTTATTTTCAATAACCCTCATTAATTATTTGTTATTCATACTCAATGTGTTTATTTAAGATGGGTATAATAGAAAGTTTAGTATGATTAATCTCTTGAATCTGTCCCTACTATAGCGCCCTTTATTTTATTTTATTTTCAATAACCCTCATTAATTATTTGTAATTCATCCATGTGTTATTGTAAGAATTGGGTATTAGAAAGTTATATGAATAATAAATTGTCTATTTGATCAATAATTTCTTAATCTGTGTGAAAATAAGAAAGTGGACTATTTTTTTTGGGACGGAGGTATTATTCTTCACCATTCTATATTAAAATATCCATTTAGCAAATTTTTTCCAATTTAAAATTTTGGCCTTTTGTAAAACTAAAATAACATTAATAAACGAACTATTTCTAAATATAACCGTTTATCATTATAAAAGTCAATGCAATTAATTTTTTAATCTTTTTCTTAAAAGGGCAGTTTAGTAAAATCCTTGAATTGTCTACTATACCCTTATTTTATTTTATTTTCAATAACCCTCATTAATTATTTGTTATTCATACTCATGTGTTATTTAAGATGGGTATAATAGAAAGTTATATGAATAAAATTGTCATTTGATCATATTTCTTAATCTGTGTGAAAATAGAAAGTGGACTATTTTTTTGGGACGGAGGTATTATTTCTTTCCATTCTATATTAAATATCCATTTAGCAAATTTTTTTCCAATTTAAATTGCTTTGATAAAACTAAAATAACATTATACAACTATTTCTAAATATACCTTTATCATTATAAAGTCAATGCAATTAATTTTTTATCTTTTTCTTAAAAAGGGCAGTTTAGTAAAATATTAGCCACATTAATGGTTTTTCATAATTTCCTTAACACTAGAGTAACTTTCAAAACGCACACTTAATATGGAATGGGGTATAGTATATGATGCTCATTTAATAATAAGATTGCTTATAGGGTTTTCACTATTTTTTTTTCACATCTTTTAGCTAGAGTGTATAAATGGTCAGTTGGGTGAAAACCAAATTGAATGTTTAAGTTAAATAAACTAATTTTTTAAAAATTAAAATTGAATTAATCAATTAATATATGAATCAAATCAATTCAATTCGATGGTTCCGTTGACATGTATTTAGTAGGAATTGAATTTATGAATTCGCAAATTATGAGATGGTGTTTAACCATTTAGCCATAAATGCTTAGCGGAGATCCTCAATTTGATTTGACTATTTTTAAACTTAAATTTAACTTAGTTTTATACAATAAAAATCAAACAGAATTGAATCGAAAAAAGTTTGATTAGAATACAATAAACATAGGATGGTGAAACAGCTAACAAAACACATGGAAATGGAAGGTACCTTGGCGGTTAGAGAAGCATTTGATTGTATAATCGCTTAATTTTGAAGTTAATTGAAAGAAAATGGGTGTTGGTGGTGTTGGTGATATTTAAGGGGTTTCAATTCTCAAGTCAAAAACATGGATTAAGACATATTATGCAATTACATGAACATTGGAAAAAGAGCCTCTCATCATGTTTCTTTTGTTGTTAGTTTGCTTCTTTCTCACAACTATAACTACCTCATTTTTTGTCCAGTTGTTCCACCACCAAAATCTCATGTTTGCTATATATCTAATTATGGTTGGTGAATGAACAATAATTATTAATTAAAGCCTAAATGATCACACCATTTTCATCATCAAAAGTGCATCTCTTTTGTAATATCATTGAAATTCAATAATAAATTTTATTATAGTCACTAAATTTTAATTGTTTCAACAATATTACTAGTAATCTGATTATCACCATTTTAGACAAATTTAACCAAACGTTGCTTATTTGTTAAAAACAATTTGATTAAATTCTATCAAAATCTAGTAATAATATATAAAAATCTCCGTCTAGTAATAATATATAGAAATCTCCGTCGGGAGCACTTTTCCCCTTATGAGCCTGACACAGGGTGAACAAAATTATATTTAGCCCGATAGCCGAGACAGCTGTGATATTCATCTATAATTCCATTCTAAAGCTATTTATGGTACGAGATTTTGACATATGTTCTTCTAATTCCTTCTCCAATAACCAACTTGAAAATGAAACTTAAACTTAATTATGGTCAATGTTGCTTGTTCTGGCTTTATTCCAAATTTACTGCAGCAAGTATATTTCCAAAGGATCAATCAAGGGCATAATCACCTGATTCCTCTATATTTCATGAAAAAGGGGAGCCAAATCTCTCCTACTATAGGGCTATATACAGACTTATGGGACTGAAAGAATTGGTTGAATTGAAATAAGTATAACATTAACATACAGTTGAACCACTTTGGTTTTATGTACAAAACCATGGTAATAAATATTCCAGTCAATAGCTTCTTGTTACATCAATAGTGTCTTCTGTGTTTACTACTTGACCTTTTACTCACTTCCATACATCACTTCTTGTCTTCTTAGGTCCATAACGAATTTGATTTTCTTGCCTGCAAAAGGATAATTTGTTAGATATATATTTTTCATTCGGGTGATGATCTTATAAATGCTGCTTTTGCATTTGCTCGCGTTTCCATAGTCATAAAAAAATGTTGAATGCAGGTATAGAAATATATTTTGATTTTACAGAACCAACAAGATTAAAATACTTGGAATTTAGATCAATATGTAAACTAACTGTTTAATGTGTCAATGCACCACTGCAAATAGGGCTTTAAATACTTCACAAACAGAGTTTAAAACATGTAAACATAACAAAAAAATTTGAGTCCAGCAGGCATAAACAAATAAGGGTTAAAAAAAATATGAACATCTACATATAAAATTTGCCATGCAAACAAATAATGCATTTTCTCACTATACCTTATAAATATGCGGTGCAATTTATGTGACAAAATTTTTGGCATCCACTAGAAACAGGGAACTTTTATAGGAAGCTGAAGAGGCAATTGGCACAAACTCCTCTAGGTAACTCATTAAGTGAATTCTGAAAGAATTCGGCTAAAAAGTGTTTATCTCAAACCCTTTATTAGTTTATTTGTGGTATGTTCCAAATGCAGCAAATTTTCTCCTTGATGGCTCACTTGGAGAATCGTGTAGATGATAGACAACAAAGTCTTCATCTTTATTGGAAATTCATGCAAAATGTCCACAGTTAAAACAGAAAACAAATTTTAACTTTTTATAGATGCAGCCTAAAAGATAAACCAACATAAAGCATACACAGGTGTGATTTGAGCACTTTTCATTTCATCCATGCCCATAATCAATGTAGGAAACCAAAGAAGAGTCACTACAGGAATCATATGACTTAAGTTGAGCAATAATTTATACTCAAACTCCAACTCCAGAAGATGCGAATTCAGACATTAATGTCAAAACACATGATATAATTGCTGAGAAAGTAAGTGGTGTCTGATTGGAGAAAAATAAGAAGCAAGTGTTAAGCATAAAAATAAAATTATTTGGCTCTCATGCAATCTTGAAGTTTTAGGTCAAATGGTTATTTAATATGGTCCTGTACATCTAGTATTAAATCCCCGGCAATGTCATTTCTTATGGTTCAATATTCAGCAAGAGGTTATGGAAGGCATAGCTTGACCATGCGCTCAAGCCCACAGAGCTTTCACCGGTGAGAACATGCTAATATTCTCAGGCCATATCTACAAACTTGAGCTCTTAGGTTGATTAAGTCTTCAATGCCAACAAATGACAATTTTGACAAATATGACAAATAAAATTCATGATTCTGATTTCAGAACCCAACAGAAGAGTCAAAGGTAATACTTACATCCGGGCCATTTTCTTTTCTTTGTGTCTCATTATTGCATTTTCTTTATCTCCTGAATGTGCGCCCTTTTCAGGAGAACGACATGAAACTTCAGCCCCTATGATATATGGCGAAAATCCACTATCGATATATTCGGTGGCACTGCTTTCAGCACTAAGCCTTGAAACAGAGAATGACATTGCCGAATAAGATGGCTGAATTGTCCGAGGAGCATGCAGACTTCCAGGTAAGGTGTAAACTTGGGTAGAAGGACCTTTATCTTTGTCCATGTGAACAGGCCGACTAATGTAAGCAGATGATGCAATAGAAGTCCCCTGCAGAAACTAAATTTCAGAACAGAAGAAGGAAGTAGAAGCAAAAGAAACTGAAGAAAAACCATCATCAGTAAGTTAGTTTTAAAATCTTCCTAAAGGTCTAAGAAAAGACTTTTTAATCTGTTGTCTATTTACTATTTATCAAAGGGGAACCCTGCTTGAAGTAGGGCTGCTGCCCCTGTTTGCAGTTTTGCAGCATACCATTCAGTTCCTTAAAAATTATCCATAAAGTTCCATCCAGGATTGAAAGCTCTGTTAAATACAATCCCCTTCATGTCCCAATTTAGAGCTTCCCACACACACTTTCAGGTTTATTTGTACACGATTTAGGTCATTTACTATTTATCTTACATTTTATCCATGTTGTAACAGGCCAATTTACATGCTCAATCTGTGCATGCTTATGATTTAGACAACAAATAGCATAAGAGCTTTTTAAAAACGTGAAATGAACTAAAGCCCCACTTTGACGATCATTTGGACAATCAGACATGGCACAAGCTTCCTTTCCTAGACCACAAGATTGGCCTATAGTGACTTGCGTGATCAACATAAAGACGCTAATGGTCAACAATATCTTTGTGTAGAGTTTTCTTGAAACTATGCAGATTGAAGTACCACTGAGCACAACTATAACCTGCTGAGTAATGGCAGAAATGATAAAAGTAAAAGAAAAGTACTATTGCAGCTGCTACTATCAGAGTTTGCAGGCTAATGATTTGGATGTAAGTTCTTGGAGATACAACATTGTGTTCTAAATGCAACTGACTTTTTCTTCAAATAATACCTAAATTTCTTGTGATAATCCTTGATTTACAATGTCATCGTTTGTCCTTTCACATTACCTGATTCACTTACATGCTTGCTTAACATTTTCTGAAACTCAAAGATATATCTTATATATTCATATTGCTCGTGCAACGGATCACCCTTTTATACATATTGCATAAACCTGTTTCCAATTTTTCCGAGTACCTTGGTGAGAAAATGGATCTGATTGAAGAATATTTGTTATAAAAGAAGTGGTAGGATCATTACCTTTCTCGCATTTCTGTTATGCAATGTATCAAGGGACATATCCTTCTCCAGAGAGGAGCACGATGCATCTTTATCATCAAGCGGTGCCCTAACAGGGTCTTGTTCACCTCCAAACAGTTCTTCGAAGTTCCGAAATGTTAAATCAACATCGGGTATGTTAATATCATCATGACAAACAATGTGTTCGCAGACTCCAAGGTCTTGCATATTTTGAGACCATAACTGCATACAGGTTCATTTCAATGAGCAAGTTTAGGATAAGCTTTGGCATATATTTACACATATTGGAAGTGAAAGTCTACTGGACTCAAATTCCCTTTCTAATAAATATTCATAGAAACGTCAGATATTCTTTTTTCTTCCAAGCATTTTCCATTTTTTTTGAATTTCTAAAGAATTTGGGCATGCTACTCAATAAGAATAGGACACAATTTATTTGATATTCCTTGATACACTGTAAGAATAATTTTGCACATGCTGAGGGCAAAAAAGCTATTACTGGTTATCCAAGTTAATCATTCAAAGTGTTTGAACAGACCTGGTTACTTTGAACAGGGCTTTTGCATTGCCAAAAGGATTCTCCAAGCAAAGGATTTGCAGCAGTTGAAGACAAGGGTAAATGCTCTGGTTGAGAAAATGACGAAGGCAAAGCGTCCGCATTTAGCTCTTGAAGTGGACAGTCACCCTTACCTGGATCTTGAGAATTTTGAAAAAGGTCAACACTGTCATTAAATTTCTCCATGCTTTCAAATATTGAAGAAGATACATCAGTTTCTTCAAGACCACATGTTAGAGGTGAACTGTTATCAATCTCAGTCAGCTGAAGCTTTTTCAGATCAAGAATCTGTAGCAGAATAAAGCCATTGTTTTGCTGTCCTTGACCTTTCAATGATATCTGCAGGATGAATCACAAGATTAAGAACTGCTAAAAAGAGTTTCATTGAATCACAAGATCCAAAATAAATCTCGTAACACATGTAGAATGCATGTAACTAATCCTGCTTAGTGGATGTGATTATGAACTTAACTGAAGCATACTACCTTTCGTATATTGAGTTACATGAATATTAATTTCAAATTCATAATGTAACGCTTATCGTTCTAGAACTTGAAAATCTTTAAATTTTGCCAACCTAAATTTGTCTTCTACTCAATCCCACTTTAGATTTTGCGCTAGATATCAAAGTTGAATAATTTACCTTAGATGTTCTTGAAGAGCTTCCAATTTGTCTGCAAGACTCTTTGTGGATGGCAATTGTTGCTGCATTAGGTTGCACAGAAGCACGTGGAGTGGAAAATAACTGATCTCGAAAAGCGTTTTTATCTACCTCATCCAATTTAAAACCCCACAACCCTGCAAAATCTTTAGCAGAAGGGCATCCCATGAAGCTACTAACAAGCCGTTTCTGATGCTGGGAAGAGACTCCATGAATGTTCTGGTCACAGCCACGACACAAGAACATCTGGTGATCCAAACACCGAGCATATGCTGGGTGATTTCTGCAAGAATCACACAAAAGAGTACGGAGATGTTTATTGGAGACTGCATTAGCTGAATGGACTTTTGCATCACAGGAAAGGCAAAGATATGCTCCATCAGCTTTACAGTAAACTACTGGTCTCAATGCTGTGCAGAATTCACAAATTTTCTCCATTTTATTATTTCCAGATCATCAATAGCCCCACAATTCCCAGCCCTCGTGAGTTATATTTTCACATTATTGAATTTAAATTTGAATATTGACACCACCAATCATATCATGACCACCAGAAACCTAAAATCACAATTGCAGCTGCACAAATTTTCAAGATCCAAAACAAGATTTCTGCATAAAAAAGAAGGAAAATGCAAAGAAATTAGTCATCATATGTCAAACAGCTGAAGCTCTTTTCCGTGCTTACACTTTGCTGCAACTTAAGATGTTCAAAACCAACTAAAAGACGATTAAGTTTGTTCTTATAATAAACATTAAATGGCAATTAACTAAATGAATATCAGCAAAATGTTAAGCAGTGAACTTGTATAATATAAATTGCATTCTGAAGACAAAACTCATGAAAATGAAGCAAGTTAAATTAAATATTATTATCAGACTCCAAATAATTCAGAAACAATCATCTATCGATGTGCCTTTTTCAGAGCCAAAGGTTTGGTATTATTAAAGATTTGGAGAACAAATTTAAAAAACAAAAAAGTTGAAGAAAGAGCCTTTTAACAAGAACAGAATTTATTGAAAAGAGCTTTCTACCAGAAAAAGAATAATAATAACGGACAAAATTCATTAACAAAAAAAGGCTGAACTAAATGGGAGAATATCTTAACTGAAGAGAAGGATCAAAAAGATATGCTCTAAATTCATTCAAACACTTAAATTAATCATAAAAAATTTACAAGAACCAAACAAAATTCTCATAGATAATTGCAAAAAACCTAAATAAATAAATTACCATAATTCAATTGAAATCCATAATCTAGAGTAACCAAAAATCAATCTGCAACTCGTCAATCACAAGACCAGCTCAATTAAATCAAAGCTTTAGAATAAAGATCTATCTAATTCAAAGATTAACAAAAAATGAAAAATATATACATATAAAAAAGAAATTATAAGTACCTTTGGTTTCTCTTCTTCTTCTTCTTCTTCTTCTGCAATTGAATAATAACAATGAATAATCCTTTTTATATCACTGCTCTTCTTCTTGTGCGCTTCTCTGTCTATCCATCATTGCCTTTTTGGGCTGACGTGCGAGTAAAAAGCGTGAACTTTATCTGACATGGAAGTGAATACGTGGTTCTTTTGTGGGACCCAATGGACGTTATCCATGTGCATGTGAACTCCAACTTACTACTATCGTCGTCATGTGATCCACAAGTTTACCTGCTCTGCCCAATAGGAGGCTTCCACGTATCCCAAAAGTTTACCGGATGGTTGCCACGATGGTTCTTGACGGCGGTGTTGTCAGCGCTGTGCGTGTTTTTCAGATGGGTACTTTATTCATTATATACATACCGCCCAACTGCGCTAATTCGTGTCACAGATTTACTTTTATACAATAGTTTTAAATGATTTATTTTTCATTATTTGATTGTAATAGTTAAAATTATTTAAAAAATATTACATTCTTCATTTTCTATTTTTATATATTAAAAAATATAATTAAAGTATAATTTTATTTATATTATTTTTTTATTACGTCCATCTTAAATAAAATATGAGTAATTATTATATAAAATAATAACTAAAAATTAATGAATATTATTGAAAATAAAGTAAAATTCAATAAGGATATAATGGACAATTTAAGGATTAAAAAAGTAGACTATATTTTGGAAAACACAAAAAATGAAAATGAAAGATCAACCATCTTTTTTGGAAAAGAGAGAGTAAAATCTTTAAGTCATGAAACTATAAAAATATTAATTATTAACAATAATGGAAATTTTGTACTTAAAAAAATTTTATTATTAAATATAAAAATGCAAAAAAAAAAAAAAAAAACTAAAAATTTAATGAATATTAATTGAAAATAAAGTAAAATTCAATAAGGATATAATGGACAATTTAAGGATTAAAAAAGTAGACTATATTTTGGGAAAAACAAAAAAATGAAAATGAAAGAATCAACCATCTTTTTTGGAAAGAGAGAGTTAAAATCTTTAAGTCATGTAAACTATAAAAATATTAATTATTAACAATAATGGAAATTTTTGTACTTAAAAAAAAAATTTAATTATTAAATATAAAAAATGATAAAAATAAAAAAAAAAATACTAAATTATGAAAATTGCCAATGATTGGTGGTGCAAAAAAAAAAAAAAAAACTAAATTATGAAAATTGCCAATGATTGGTGGTGGCAGCTAGTGATGAATAGTTACTGGTGACAATGGCCACCAATGAGTAATAAACTAAAAAAATATGCATTAATAAGGCTACAATAAATTTGTTAATGTTCGGAAAATATTTTCTTCTATTACAAGTGAGAAGTTATTTTCCTTAAAAATGGCTTATATTTTTTTTTTTATTAGGAAAATGTTTTCTTTGACTTATTTACTTGACCGCCTCGAAAAATTATGAAAAATTATTCTACAAAGATAAATGGAACCTAAGTTTCCAAAAGTAATATCTAGACCTAATAACTAAATAATTTAGTCCATAAATTTATTTGGTCGTGCTCTCTTTTAAAGTAACATTTCCTAAATTAGTCATATTTTTTTAATGGAAAGGATTCAAATTAAACTTCTCCCGTAGATTAATCAAATTACACTTAATTGAATTTAAATTTCATAAACGGTAAATAAAACATAAATATATTTGATTACATGGGTCATTAATGTTCACAAAACAAATCTAAAAACTTCATTATATTATTTGATTAAAAAATTGTTATTTAGGGTTTATATTATATAAAATGAAGTGATTAAGATTGTTTTATTCCTTTACTGTTAATTGTATCTTCACCGCCACGTTGGCCAATACTTAACAAAGTTAGCCACCTGTTTATCGGTCACCATTCCACTATATAGTCATTTTCCCCATAAAAAAAATTAAATAAAATCATTATTATTATTATTATTATTAGTTTTTTTCTACTTTTAATATAAAAAATTAAAAAAAAAAAAATTGTGAAATTTGAGTACCTAGCTTTGTACAATATAAAAATAAACACTCCATTTTTAAAACTAATTTATACTATATGATTAGTCTTTTCACTTGTACCAGTGAAAATGCCCGAATTTGAATCATTTCAACAATAATTTTGAACTCAAATCATCTCAATCACAACAAATTTAACTAACAAATTTAGAAGTCGGCAAATATATATAATATGAAATTTCTGTTTCCCATTTACCTAAGATTGAATATTCAAAATGAAATGCTTAAACAAGCAAAGCCTTGGGGACTCAAATATGCAAATATATAATCTCATCTCCAAAAATAATTAATGCAAATGTCCATATTGCAAAGAAAGCATTTAGCTAATGGTCCTTTTCCAAATTAGGTACAAGAAATCACATCTACATGTGGGTTTGCCTCTTGTCCTCCATTAACAATTTCCATGATTAAACTGTTCCTAAGCTTACTTAGACGCACAAGAGCCTGAAAACAACTTCAAATTTTGCAATACACTGTACATTTAAGGCCCAAAAGTGAAAAAGCTATCAGTCAAAGCTCAAAAACTCTTGAGAGGTTAAACATGCAGGCAAGTCTAGCTCTCACAAGTAACATTAAGTCACATTTTAGCACTTTAGTCAAATCAAAAATTTGATAAAAAAGCTGTAGAATTTTTAACAGCTTAACTGCTAGAAAGTGATGTACCTGCAATAAAGACAAGCAATAAGACGGTCTTACATAACCAACCAGCAATAAGAAGCTCTTACATAACCAACCAGCAGTAAGAAGCTCTTACATAACCAACCAGCAATAAGAATATGCAGCAGAGTAGCAAGCACCATATGATGATATGAACAGGATCTTGAGAAAGGCAAGAACAGAGGCAAATGCATGAATGACTGGTAAGAGCACCGGTGGCCCTGATTTTTTAATTCTAGATATAGACAGGATAGCTTTGATGCTTTAATTAACAAAAGTTTTATAACAGTTATACAACTCTTGAACAATGCTTTCAATGCCTCTTTAAAATTTGATCATTTTGTAGATGTACCCTGAAAATGATATTTCTATTGAGATTTATCTGCATGACACAAGCCAAGCAATATGAAACCTTCTTGCCAAAATATATGGCTATCTAACGAATTTCATAATGTCTTGTGAGAGAGTCGTAAAGTTCATTGATACCTTACCTCATTTAGCTTTTCTTTACATCCACTTCAATAATGTCATCATCCTCCATGCCAAGGCTATCAGGGGTTGCTGTTGGACTGACTTTGTCCCCATCAAAGGAAAACACTAAGCTTTGAATATTAAGCTTAACTTTATCCGCATACATCTTGAACAGCCGCTCAAACTTGTCATCCTATTAAAAATGGAAGGATTCTAATTCACAGAATTGTAATTGTCGAAAACATTATTATGAGAAGTATAATATACAAGAGGAAGTCAATTAGTACATAATAAGAAATACATATTTAAATATTCAGGGTGAGATATTCTTTGATCCATAGGCACATGCATCATAAAAATTTCATCTTTCAAACTGTAACAAACAGAAAGGAGCTAACTAATTAAATTAAATAAATTCCATGTGGAAATATTCGAATGACCCAAATATTTGAAAATGCAGAGAATCCATCAATTGAATTGGATATTTTCATAAGATTGCTCTTCAGAAGAAAAGAAAAACAATTTTTTGAAATAGTCATCAAGCTACAAAGGAGAGGGTGAACAATATTATCAAAGTGTAAGATGAACTTTATGCATAATTTTTTACATTTAAAAAAATTACAATAACCAACGTGTATCTTTGAAAAAAAAAAAAGCTACATTTTATTTTTGGTTTAAAAAATTTCCAGTTTTACTTCTGTTTTTCAATGAGATGCTCAAATGTGCAAAAAGTGAGAGCTAAAGTAAAAAAGAAAATTTACTAGGCTACCATAGCAATTCATTTTGAGGGAATTATCAATCATGATATTTGAAATGCACCAATCCAAGAAGAACAAGGCCAAAATGCAGGGACAGTAACCGTGAACTTGTAAAGAACTGTAGTGTCGTATAACTAACACAGTCACATTATCCAAACACAACATATGATAGAAGCTGTGGATGAAACAGCCCACGCTTTAATGAAAAAATGATCATGGGTTATTGAACAAAATAATCTCCAATTACTGTACTTGTATTATTCTCATTCCCTAGTTTCATGGTCACAAATCACAATAGTATTTATTCAACATACAAAATTTTCCATTTTAGTCAGACTTTAATTTCATGGATAACGTTAGTGCAGTATAGAATTGGAAATTCTTCAAACAATCAACTGCAAACAGAAGAAAGCTAAACCTGTGAAACATACCAAGCAAATAACCAATGAAATTCATAAAATACCTTATACACTCGAAACTGTTTTCCTTCCTTCTTGTCTTGAATCGTAATTATGATTTTAGCTCTTTCACAAGGAGGCTTTGCTAGTTTCTCAGAGACATTCAGTGAACTACTAAGTTCTCTTTTCACAGACTCTTCCACAGCTCGCAACACAGCCACACCTGATTTAGCAAGTGACTCTAGCTCCTGTTTTTTCAACCTGCATTCGCAGCTCACACAATTTGGAAAAGTACAAGCAGGTATTCATATTATGGGAACACCATTAACCCCTTTACGAAAGAAAAATCTCCAATACATATCTAATGCACGATGGTACCTCAACTCCTTAATAGTGGAGTTCTCACCAAGCTGGTTTTGGAGAACCTTGGGCGGAGGAGGGAGCCAATCCTCCTCATCCTTTTCTTTACCATTCACAATTTCTAACACTTGTACATCATCATCAACCTCTTTAACCTAATCCCCAAAGTAATTCAATAAGAAAGAAGGCATAAAAATCAATTGACAAGAACATCACCTCTACTAAATATTAAAGAGATAAAAAATAAATCGTACGATGGATTTTGGATTCTGACAAATCTTCCTTCGTTTTGGAGAGTTAACCGAGGAAGTATCAGAACCATCATCATCTATCAAAGAAACCAAAGCCAATGTTGCACATTTGATTTACAACCGCAAAAATTTATATAAGGAAAAAAAAACACCCCAAAGAAAACATTTATAAAGCTTCCAACTTTTCCATATCTCATAAAAGAACCCATCAATCTTTCTCGGAATCCAAACAAGAAATTCCCCAGAAAAAAAAGGAAAAGAAAAACTGAACTTTCTTTCAATTCATCAGCAAAATAAAAAACACCAGAGAATAGAAATAAAAAGAATATCAAAAACTCACCATCGATACAAACGAAATTATGAGGCTGGACGCGTCTATAATCAAACAAGGGTTCGAGTTCTTCGGTGGAATCTGCCTGCAAATTCAACAACTAATAGTAATACAGCTGGGAAAGCTCTATTAGGTTTGTAAAGATGAAATTTCGAAGAAGAGGCTTACCATTAGCGAGTAGCGAATTTCAAAATCTGAGCCTATTCGAGTTCGCCTATGTCCCGCCCAAGTACCCAATAATAATATTTGAGCAATTTGATTTGATTTATTTCAAAGATTGAATGATGAAGAGATGCAGTTTGAATTGCAGGGATTCGATTATAAGCGAATAACCATTTTGGTTTGGCGGGTTCGTTAGAATTGGGCTTTTTTTCTAACGGGCTTGACTTGTTGAGATTGTTTTTCTACTAAATTGGGTAGGCCCGTTTATTACTTCACTAGCTACTATTTAGGCCGACTAACTAAAAAATAATTTGTGATTACTTGTTATGGATGGAGCTTTTAATTTGTGATTAGTTAGTATGATCTCTAGTCAGGCTACAAAACCCTATAATGGTTACGTCAAGGTGTTCTTAATGGCTTCTACCATGAACAAACTCTTTCTCCTTGTCCTTGGTTGGGTGGGTTGTGCCCTATCAGCGACTTCAGCTTCCTCCCCTTTTGTATTACCAATTTAGAGTTGAAGTGGAGCCCCAATGGGTCAAAACTGGGCCTGAGTCTAGAGTTGAGCCCCGTCAACAGTGGTTACAATTTATGATATTCAATTTTATAATGATATAAGGTTAAATTTGCCACTTGAACTTATGAACAATATGCAATTTGATTAAAAATCAATTTTTTTTATACAATCTACCTTTTGAATTTATACCAAAAGAATAAACACCCAATTTTTAAAAAATAAATATTGAAATAAGCAAATATAATGAAAAAATAATTATTAATATTTGAATTAAAAACAAGACACTGTAATTATAATTAAAAAAATAAATATTTTTCAAACTAGAAATTCAATTTTCAATTAAATATTTTCTAATTCTATGATTTTTAAAATAAATATTTTATTTAATTATTTTTTTGAATCAAAGACAAGACACTGTAATTATATTTATAAATGACTTTTTCTTTCCTAATTTTAAACAATTTTTATTAGCTAAAAATATTAAAGCTATTTTTTTAAAAAAAATAGGCATTTTGTCGTTTCAGTTCAACTTTAAAAGCAAAAAATTAATTTTTGGGCGAATTGAATAAGTTGAAAGGTAAATGGACTTTATTCCTTATATGAGACAAGTGTTTGACTATTAATTAATAACATACTATTAGTTATTTTAATAAAAAAAAATTAAGTTTATGCATATTTAATTATAAGTCTTTTAGATACTGATACTGCAGAGTAACTAAATTCTCCATATTTTATTAGAATACATATGGTATAATACTCCAAATTTTAAATTCTTAAAAAAAATTATATTTAGAAAACATATATGCAAAGACAAAGTTATAAACTTTTAAAAAAAAAATTAGTCTCATATGTAAAATAAACGAGAATATTTTTAAAAATAAAAAAGTATTAATTTAATTTAAAATTTGAAAGTTTCATTTACTTTCCTTATGAAAATAAACAAAATGAGTTGTAAGTCATTACCTTTTCAGTTTTTTTGATTGTTTAAATATAGAAAATAAAGTTGAATTTCTTATCTGAATTTTTATTGTACATTATTAAAGAAGGAAAGGTAAAAAAAAAAAAAAAATCACAAATAGAAAGAGAGAAAAAAAATATTCAAAGATGGTATGCCATGTAGCAGATGATGTGGTAACCGTAGTCAACAATTGACAGTCTCACAGTCACCGATGGTGGACTTCGTTGCCTTCATATAGAAGGACACGTGTAATATAGCTATTGGTCCAGGTAGTGAACCCCACTATAAATGTAACTGTTACCATTATTTTACTTCGCCTAATCCTCCCTCTTTATTTATAGCTCAGTATATGTCTGCCAACATTATACTTGTGTGCCTATCTCTTTGGATTAGAATGACTTCATTATTTCTTTTTCATCTCTGACTCTTGTCTTTTATTTCATCTTTCTTCGTCTATTTGTTTTGTTTTTTAATTATCTGGATTCGCATTGCCTATTCTAAGTATTTAGAGGAAGAATGAATCTCTGTCATCGCATCTTATCCATAAGGAATTATTTATTTTTAAAAACATCAACGATTTTTAAAAAAAATATCAGGATCTGACTTTCTTTGACTCAACCAAGTGACTTATCTTGGTGTTTTTTTCTTTTCCATCATTTTTTTTTCTTTGTTTTTCAAAATGGAAGTTGGAAAGCAAGTACCAATTATTTGCATTCCTAGCTTTGCTCGAGGCCTTAGAATTCTGTTGGTGGATAATGATACACCATCTCTCATGTACCTAGCTTCATTGCTTGAACAATATACATATAATGGTAAAGTTAGCATTTTTTTTCTTTTTCCCCTAGAAAATTTAGCAGTTTGTTATTAATTTTTCTTGATTCATGTATGATAATAAGCTTTTTTTTTTTTTAATCAACTCTTCAATCCTATTTTTTCTTCTTAAAAAGAACTGATTTATTATATTTTGCATAATTTCTTCTGTCATGACATACCAGATTTTGATATTTATCAACTACTAATATCATTAATATATATTTTGATATTTCATATATTTTTGATTTAATTAATGAAAAATTCATAAAATTGAATATATATATATTAAGGTGATTGGAGACAAGAACCGTGGTATTCGAAATTTCATAATTTTTTTTAAAGATTATATTAGAGGGCGAAGTAGTTCTGTTTTATAGTTGATTCTTTTCTTAATAATTATATAACAAATTACTTATTCATGTTCGTTTATTTATTTTTGAACGTCATTTTATCATTTTCTAATGGAAAGAACTAAATTACCATATATGCATCTTTTTCCTTTTTCAGTCACCACCACTGAACAAGCATCAATTGCCCTATCAATGGTTAAAGAACAAAAGACCAGATTCAAACTTGCCATGGCTGCTACGAACCTGCCTGATATGGACACTATTGCATTTCTTCATGTACTGAACGAGTACAATATTCCTGTCATTTGTAAGCTTTCAACTTATATTTTCGCTTAATTATTTTTCGATTCATTGTTTATTAGTTTTAGTCAACTTTTGACCTGGAGGTTAAGGATTTTAGCCATGGAGACCGCCTGTCGGTAAAACATCGAGGGATGTTGTGTACATCAATCCTCCTTAGAACCAGTAAATATGGGAGGTTTCCTGCGTTGGATCACTTTTTTATCAAGAAATTAATATCGCGACGAGCTTAATTTAGTTTTTGTGATGCAGTAATGTCGTCCGAAAGAAGTATAAGTGTTGTTATAAAGTCGATAGCTGAAGGGGCAACTTTTTATCTCCAGAAACCAATTTTCTTTGATGATCTGAAATATGTTTGGCAACATGCATATAGGAAGAAAAAAACTCCAACAGACAGTCAACAAGATCAGGGTGATGCTCAGAAATCTACTGATAAACAAATCATGGAAGAAAATAAAAAGATAGCAACAGAAGAGAAAGAAAATAAAGAAAACAAGAACAATAATAATTCAACTGAAAAGAAGTCAAGAATTCTTTGGACTCCAGAGCTTCACATGAAATTTACAGCAGCTATTAGCGAATTAGGCGATAAGAGTAATTTTATATTATTAATAATTTCTCATCAAATTTCTTTTAATTAAATTGTAATTAAGTCTATATCTTTAGATTAATTGTTTGCTTAATGCAGAAGCTCGTCCAAAACCAATATTAGAGATTATGAAAGTGCCCAATTTGACACAGCGCCAAGTTGCCAGCCATCTCCAGGTGATGTTCTATATTAATTTATCTATTAGTGTTTTGATTAAATTTTAATAACCATAATTAATTTACTAATAATTTTCATTTTCAGAAATATAAATCTCAAGTGCAGCGTATTTGTGAAGCTGGCACCGCTAATTTACCAGCATTGAGTAAACCATATAATAATTTCTATGCCAGAATTCTAGAAAAACTTGACAACAAGACTACTCCTAACTGCGGATTCAGTAAGTTTCAATCCTGGCTCCGCCACTGCCCTTAATATAAAATCCTGGCTTCGCCTCCGAAGAACGACTCTTAACTTGAATTATTTCAGTACATCTAGGGATTTTTTTTTTTCTTTTTGCTTATTTTATTAATCTTTATTTTAGGGATACCCAGTGGAAAGACACCGGAGCTTAATTATTTGAAAGGACAGTGCATGACCATTCCTTCAGGCAAAGAGACCAATGAATTCAAAGTTCCTAAAGCAGTCTCCATGGATGGGATCGAGAAGCTGGCTTCTGTAGAAGTTTCTAATGCTAAAACAGCCATTGATCAACCTTATGCCAATAATTCTCTACCAAACTTCGATGAATGGAGTCGAGAATTGGAGATGATGCCAATTTTAGATCCTTCGATGGAAGTTCCTGAATTAGACAAGATTTTGACAAGTTCAGATGATGCTTCAAATAATATGGAGGCTCCAAGAAATATTTCATCTCCTCCTGCGAGTACAGTGAATGAAGACCAACCTTCTCTGCTAAAGTTTGCTGATGATCTATTGAATATAATGGAGGAAGAACCGGCCACCGGAGAACCAAATCCAAGTGACGTGGATCGCTACTGTGAGTGGCTAATTTCCTAGGTAGAGAAAAATTATGATAATAAAGGCATGAAAAACGCTTGCTTATGCCCGGTCTAGTTTTGTCGTTTTCAAAGTTTTATGGATAAAATATTGGAATTTTATATGTTTAGGGTTACGGTCCCGTCTAATAATTTTATGGTATCAAATAATCAATATATTCAAAATTGTGTTTTTTAGTACAGTTACAAGAACAAATACCAAACAAGCTAAAGCATTTTCTATTTAATTTTCAGAATATGCCTTCACGGTTTAACCAGAAAACAATTTTTGTATATAAAAATTAAAGAAATATGAGTTATTTCAATTCTTTTTTGAGTAATTCCATCATGTAAACGATTCTCTCTATATATAATTGGAATTACAATTTAAAAACAAGAGAATTTCAATACAAATAAGAAATCTTTTTGAAGTTTAATTAATATAATAAGAAGTTTAGGAAGGTTTGTTCAAGATTCCAACTGTGAATAATCATTAATATTTCTACTATTATGTATCAGAATATATTATAAACATCGTGTATCAGGATATGTTACTTGCTAGTTAATCTAATTATCCAGTGATTATCTTTAAACTTTTAAATTGACATCCTAATCAAAATCTAAATGATCAAAATCAGAATGATTGCATAACATTATACAATTAATTATCCATGGATATTCTTAAAATTGATATTTATATATAATCTCAATCTTTAGAATGTATTGAAAAACTTCAAAGCAAAGAAAGACATTGAAAATGAAGAGTTAAAGAAAAGAAAAAAGAGCAGATTCTTGAACTGCTTCAAGTAGTGTGTAGAACAGAATATCACACTCACCATCAAATCAAGCAGCGAGGTTGACCATTGCATAATGTGTGTATATATATTTAGAGAATAGAGGTGTCAAAATGGATCATGACAATAGAATACGATACTACTCCTCTCAAGAAGGCCATTTTGGTTCAAGTGTTTTAATAGAACAAGTTTGGTGAATAGTTCCCTTTGCTACATAGAAAACTGGCACTCTAAATTCAATTTCATTATCACTTCCAAGGATTTTGATCTTAGCAACAAATTGCGGTTTAACTAAGTTAAAAAAAAAAAAAAAAGATTAAAGTATTTCCCTTGTCAAAGACTTATGTTCAATCAACAATATCCAAGTACGTACACTAAAATCATCAGCAAGAGTAGGGAAAAATCTATAATTATAAACAGACGGAGCAAAAAATTGTCCCCAAATATCCACATGATAAGATCAAAAAATTGTCATAAACGGATGACTCGTATATGACACGAGTTTAAACGAGTCTTGTGATAAGTTGATTTATTTAATCCGTCTAACCTGTTTATTTAAGAATAAAAATGTAAGTTCATATATAAACGAGTCTTTGTGATAAGTTTGATTATTTTAATCCGTCTAACCTGTTTAAATTTAAGAATACAAAATGTAAGTTCATATAATATATATATATATATATATATATATATAGTATATAATATATATATATATTAAGTGAATTATGTAGGTTTATAATATATATTAAGTGGATTATGTAGGTTATACATGTTGTGTTCTGACCTGTATATGACCCATTTAATTAAATTTGATTGAATTCTTGAATTCATCAATAACTCATTTCATTAAACATGTTGTACTTATCGTGTTCATGTCACTCATTTAATTTTCATATTGTATTTATGTTTAAATATTTAATATGATTATTGAACGGGTTATGTTCATATTAAACCTAATCGTAACATGTGATAGGCGAATTGGTATCAATTCGACGCGTCAATTCATTTTGACATTCTTTTTATGGCCTCTCGTTGTGGCTGTGTCTACAATGACTTACAAATCTTAAAAGCAAAATTACAAGAACAAATTCTGGTTGACATATATATATTCAACATTCAAAATTCATTTCCAAGAATGACCACTCCAAAAATTTTCTTGATTCTATTATTCCAAATTCAGACCAAATAATTTACTTTTTTTTACTCCATAAGGACATGTAATGGAATGTAGGACCACAGACACACAAATCTATATCTATATACTTTCCCTCCATTCTATGCCATACCTAAAGCTGCAATGGATGATGTAGAATGTGGAAGCTTTTGTTCAGCTACTTGACAAATAATCCACCTTACAAATGGCATCTCATCCGCAGATGGCATCTTTGATGTCTCTATGAAATTTTTAAGTTTTGGAAACTCAATTAGTTACCAAAATGCTTATTGTAGCAACTCAATAATTAAGTGGCACTCTAGCAACTTTCATTGACTAAAATTGGTTTTTTCAAGGAGTATATATGGAGCTATTTAGCTTAATTAAAATACAAATCAAAATATATATATAAAAAAAGTATAACCAAGTTTTTTCATTAAAATTATAATAAATATTTAGTAGTATTGGACAATACAAAAGATATATATAGTGGCATATAAATATATTTTTAAAATAAATATTAAACTAATACTATTAAATTTACTATTTTTAAGAAAAAAAATGCAGTGCTTCATAAAGTACATAAATTTTATTAATACTTTATAATTAAGAAATTAGCATAGCAAAAGTATTTCTTACTAAAAAGTTACTATAAATGCATAATATTCAATCACTAACTACATTCTAATGCAACCATGATTGACTATTAAAAAAATATTGAATGTAGCAATAATTTAATATGATTTTTATTAAAACTAATACTCATAGAAAATAAATTCTTATGCATTGCTTTAATTCTTATATTAATACCAACTTTTTTATCTCAAAAAAAAATAAAAAAAAAGAAAAAAGAGGAACAAGGAAAAAGTAAACAATACTACTCCCTTTTGCCTTAATTGGCAGTCTCCCACTATAAATAGGAGAGAAATTGTTCAAGTTTCACAAGCTAGCTATGTATAGAAGAAGAGTATACAATTCTTGTCTAGTTGTCTTGCATGAAGAGATACAGAGCGGGGTTGAGCCAAGGATGACTTGCCGCGCATTAATATTGTTTCTTGTTTGGACGAGCAAAAGGTAGTTTTTCGTGGCAAGAATCCTTGGCTCTACCGCCTTCTGTATTTTTCTCATGCCAGACTCCTGACTTTTCCATTTTCATATCCATCATCTTCAAGTGCTTCTTTCAGTCAAGTGTCTGTCTTATAATATCGTAAAAGTTTTGAAATTCAGATAAATCATTACCCAACAATTATCCGTTTAATTCACAATTGTTTTATGGATGCTACCAAAATGCACAATTGTTTTTTTATATTTTTTTTATTTCATAAATTAAAACTATCACTATCGTTTTATTATTATTAGTTTGGTTGTCAAATACTAGTATAAGTGAGACACCCGAATTTTTATTTTCGAAAACTTTCGAATTTTTAATAAATCAAAAATCTCGATTTTCAACTAATGGGCTATATATATACCAAACAATCTCAATTCGAGACTAATGGGCTATATATATACCAAATCAATCTCAAATTCGAGCCCGAAAAATTTTACGAGTCAGGCCCAAGCCAAATAAAATATCGAAAAGAAATTTTGAATCGTAAAAACGGTTAAAATTTTTTGAGAATAATACGAAACCCCGATTTAACCTATTATGAATATATATAAATTCATTATCCTAAAATCAAATATTGTTACTATAAATAATTTTATAATTATTGAGTAAATGGAGAAAATATTACGAAACGGAACTAAACGGTTAAAATAAATTGAATCAGGCCCGAAAATCAGTTTAATTTGTCGAGAACCACCCAAATAATCCGAAACCGAGGGAAAAACTTAAAAATCAAACGAAATGAGACCAAACCACTAAATCGGACCAAACCAGTTTGAATCGAACCGGAATGGCCTAGAGTTTGCTAGAAACCGCCTTACTTTTTTTTCTTTTCTTTCTCTTCTCCTTCTTCAGGCGCGCGACAGCCTCCCCTTCAGGCGCGCGACAGCCTCTCCTCCACGGCCTCTCCCTTCCGGTTTCGGCCACCGCTCGACGAGAAGAGCGAGATGGCGATCGTCTCCGCTAGAGCTCCTGGTCCATTTTCCGACCTCCTTCCACACTAACAGAGCCTCCAGTGACGCGAAGCGGGACTGTCTCCATCGACAGTTTTCCTTCTTCGATCTCCAGCTAGACCGAGCAATTCCGGCGACGTCAACAAAAAAGGCAGGCGTCGATCGAGTCACCTCTACCTTGTGAGTGTTTCTCCTCCATTAATTCCAACTACAAAGCTTGAAATGGCGAAACCACCATTAATGGCGGCACCAAGCTATTGTCGGGACTAATTCAGCCAAATGGAGAGCCAACCTCGCACAACCGACATGCACAACCGACATCAAAACGGAACTCCTCGATGGAAATTGAGTGGGGTGGGCGTGAAGAAGGGTCAAGCACAACCGACATCAAAAACGGACTCCTCGATGAAATTTGAGTGGGGTGACGTGAAGAAGGGTCAATTCTGGGTGGCCCCAACTTTTCCGGCCACCGTAGACGGCGACGATCCGGCGAGTCTCCGGCAAGGTGCCAGGGACAGAATGTTCCTCTCTTCGCGAGGATCGTGGAATCGTCGCTCAAATTTCAATTGGTACATTCTAAGACCAATTTCCTATTTTTGGTATAAATTCTAAACTAATTAAATTGAAAATTTGAATGAATTGATTCATACATCATATATGAGCTAGGGTGAGAATGACCTATTTTGCTGAACAACAACTATTTTGAATAATTGCGAACATTTAGATAAACTAGTTATAAGAATTGATATATATTTATATCTATATACATAAGGGCGAGTCGAGTTACTTAGTAGATGTATTCATTAAATTATAATTAATTGAAGCATTTGTTCTTATTGGCTAGTATAAAATTTAACAAAGGTATAAAAAATGTGACGTATTAGCTTTAAGCAAGAATGAAGAAATGAAAGTAATTGAAATTAACTTACTGATATAAGTTTTATTCGATTATATATGTATTAAAGCTTTCATTTGTTCTTTCATTTGTTGGTTAATTAGCTATACTAGCTAGTTATAATTATATGAATGTAAATAATAATTGTCATGTTCAATTGAAACATAATTGTTGTGAACTAATGGTTGAGCGTTGATATTCGTGGTTTTGGGAGGAGGATGGTCTTTAAAATTGATTGATTGCCCCGATGGATTGGGCTGTGTGTACTGATTGATAAATATATAATAATACTGTGGTATC